CTATTCTCTCGAAACTGCGCTTGGAGAGCTCATTGTCATTCGCCGTGAAGCGTGTCAACTTGAGGATCGCTGTGATCTCAAACGCAAACGTTGATTTGAGTTGGAGGACCGCGAAATGAGGGATCGGCTGGCCAGGCGTGAACGGGAGGACGAAGTGATTCTAGAGGCGATTGAGGGAGCGACTAAATAGTAAGTACGTATACCCCGGGATGATTTACGCGTAAGCGTGTAAATCCCGTAAACGCGGGATCAAACGTCGGAGCCAGCGAGCTGGCCAGTCGACACGGCATCCACGGCTCCTTCACCGCACCGCCGTCTTCGCAAACCACAGCAATTGCAAAGTTCAACGCTGCTAGCTGATACGTTGCCCGCTTGGCTTCCTCAATCATACCTGTGCATGTGAGTTAGATTTATGTTGAATACATCCGTTGTAAGTTCTAAATACCACGTACCGGGCTAGGCTAGCTGAGGTCTGCCAGTGCCATTGTACTCGTAGTTACGTTTGTTGCCTGAACGTATAGGGCGTGTTCGAGTTCTAACACTCGTGATATATATACTGGTAGACCTGAAACTTGAAAGAAAGAAAGAAAGCAGAATGAGACCGAGTCACCGAAGATTAAGACTTGGATGCGAAAATCGTCAACGTTCGACATCCATTGACTCCGTTCAAGTTCATTTCGTTCAAGCATCTGTAATTATGATTAATAAGAGGAAATGCATAGGATTAAATTGGTGCTGAAAGTACAGTTTGATTTTCAATTCATATTTGGGGTAAAGGAGGGTAAAGGCACCTCGGCGAACAGCATATAATCATTTAATTTCACGTACACGTCGCAGACAAATGTTCTAAATTGACATAAACGTCGTTTTATATATAAAGAAGACACCCACGTACTTATATCTCTTGGGGTTTTGTGGGAGCGCTGAATTTACATGGTAAGTCGATGGTAAGTTGGGGTAAGCGTGTTGGTAAGTGCCGATTTACACCAGATTTACACCAGATTTACGGGCTCTAGAAAACCCCCTGCACGGATTTCCAAGCAAGTGCCACTTCTATAGGGTGTATATGACTGCATAAAGTCTCTGTACGACATTTGGGACCACTCCATTAAGGATTTTGGTGGACCGGATGTAGCGACCAAGAGCGCCAGCTCGGAATTGCTTAATCAGGAGGATTATTTCACTCATAAAATCTATCTCATGTATTTTTTATATTTTTTGGGGTATGGAAGTTCATATTTGCTTGAATATTTGCTGCTATTTCGTGACCTTCTAAGCACATACGGTCGGAGTGGCTATAGTCACGTGATCATCGCGCTGAACCATTGTACTACCGCACAGCTTTCAAGCTTCAAGTAGCTGTTCCAAGGCTTCTCATGCGTAAGCACACGCATTATAAAGTGTTGTGCTATTGACCGTGCTGGTCAAGGACAGGTTGACATGAACCGACACCCCACCCCGCTCTGCTTGCCTAACATCCGACAACCCACATCCTCACCATCGTGCCACCTCTACCCCCATCTCCCGTGCACCCTCCCTGCTCTTCTCTCCCTAACCACTGCCTCCAAACTCACATCAACCAAAAGGATGGCGAATGGCGTAGGTCCACAACTTTCGCATTCCAGAGGCAGCACCTTGAACGTACGTCCAGCCCAAATGGACGTGCCTACTGCCGTATCCCGTGAGTGCCCAGCTTGTCAAGCAGCTGTTCCAAGGCTTCTAATAGGTAAGCACATGTGCATTTTGAAATGTTTCACACTATTGAACACTCTGGTTAAGTACAGGGTAACATCAGATGAATCTAATTAAATATCTCGTGCTTTTACAATCCTCTGCGCCAGTCCTTTCTGCTCCAGGGGAGCCATCCGAAGGGCCAGAAAATTGTCGTGCCATCTGGGGAACTACTGTGTCTCTCCTCGAGTCTAGCTCTCTCTTCCGATCTCTTTCGTGGCTTCAAGACAAAATATTGTATCAGCTGACATGGAGCCATGGCTATACCAGAGGAAGAGCTGCTCTATGAGAGTTTCTTCCGAAGCACGTGTGAAAAAAGGACTAACTAAACTTGAATCTTGATTCTATCAAATTACTGTCATAGCCGCCTTTGCGCAAGCTTCTTTCACGGCTGCTCCAGTACTCAAGTCTTAAAGGAAGATCGTGACTTGGGTGCAGAGGGTATGGCTGGTGATCCAGGGGGCTACGCTCGTCACATTGGATATGAAACAACAGGTCAGTTATTGCTGCAGTCATGAATGTATATATCCTGATGATTACGCATCAGCCTTCTTTTTGTGTCTATCGCACTCACATTCGGTACAGGTTGAGATAGACTGGACAAATTGCTGAACCAGAACAATGTCCACGACTTATGCCATTCTGAGGGAACAACAAACCTCATACACAACCAGTGCGAGTTCGCCGATCACTAGGTCGTATGTCTGCAAGAAACACCTGTTGCTGTCCCTGGCCAGATACCACACAATTTGTCGCTCTGTGAACGACGAATTGGTTGATGTTACAAAACCATGCGACCGCCTTGCTGTTATCTTTCGCAGAGTGCCTGTGCGCGACAACGAACCATCAAGAGTCTATTTAAGACATATTCTGACGTTGTTCATGTAGAATGAGGTCCCAAAGACCCTCTTGGGTTTGACAGAAGTACATGGATGGACAAGGTGAGGGTTGGGGGAGTAGGTGAAGACGAAGCAGAGGTATGGCGGAGCGACAAGCTGCTTGTGGTGAAGACTGTGGTGAGACTATCAGAAGAGGGTGCAGCGCGAAGCGGAAATACGCCTGCTCAGCCTAGGGCCAAATATCCTTTTACGGCTGTTTGGGGGGATCAATACAAGCATCTCAAGCCGGTGGCCCCAGGGACCGTGATGAGATCAACGTTCTTCTTGTGGGTGATCCTGGTAGCTGGTGGGAGTTTACTATCCTGCGATGGCAAGAGGTTGACTTTCTGTGTGCACTGTGCAGTATGTGCTGTACATCCACAAACTCGCACTGAGAGGCTTGTACACCTATGGGAAAAGGACATGTGCAGTGTGTTGAACAGCATATGTGACCCGCAATCCAAATTCAACACAGCTAATGATATGGAAAGGTGCGCATGCGCCTGTGACACTGCATCCATACTGACACTTTGTGCCCAGTTGTGCATTGGCCTTGAGTGATGGTGGTGTCTGTTATATCGACAGTGAGTCAATCTATGATCACTTATACTTTTGACCGTTAATGCACAGGAACTGTTTCCAACTGCATCATTGTGACCTTGAACACCCGTGCGGTTGAACGTCTTGTTGGCTTATAATTTGAAGATGCGCTAGCAGGAAGAATGAAGGACAATGCTATGTAAAAGGAGACGTCTGTCTCGAAGGTATGTGGTGGCTGTTTTTGAGCACAATCACTGCTCGCTCAAATTTTGTCCTACTTGACTTGCTTACTAGCTATCATCCCCCTCCACGGTGTTTGTCACCAGACCCTCTGCTTCTCAGTGCATATCTTAACATTACACAGACTACTGCACAGTGTACACTCTGCTAAGCTCTGCACATCCTATTTTATTCAGAAACTCTTCTTCAACCTCCTCAGGCCGCTAGTCATCTCACAAGTGAAGGTAATGAATTATTATGCGCAAGTCTGAGTGATACACCTGAGCTACATGACCAGGTCCGTCCGAGTAGAATAAGAATGTGCTGAGCCAGAAAAAGCATCCAGCTCAGGCATACAAGACCGTATCATACCTGTTTAAAGCACCTATCACACTTCTTGTTCTCATGCCTGCATCTCGGCGAGTGTCCTCTCAACAGTGTCAAGATGAGAGTTGCGGCAACAAGCCTAGCTGAGTTAACAGCTGATAAGGAGGCATCTTCAAAGAAGTTTGGCAAGGCACAAGCAACAACCGATAAATATGAACAACGCCTGAAGCAGGGTCGCAAATGGCTGCAGAGCCTGCTGGATAACGAAGCTAAAATGGAACGACCTCACGGATGTCCTGCTGCATCAATTCAAGACTGGGACAAAGATGATATTGAACACGCATTTGATAGAATTCCAACCCGAGCATCTCCCTAGGTTCTTGCGCTGTTTATTGTTGCAAAATGTTTTGGAGAGACTGAATGTGGTCCCTCCACTGCATGGCAAATCTACTCGGCATTCAAGAGAATGTGGCACCAAGCGTCTCTTTTTCATCTTTCTGTCTGTACAACACTTCTGATGCATGTACATGTGTGAATATAGTGACCCAAATGGTAAATATCAGGGGAGATGGCTATGGGATGAAGAACGGCAAGGTGGTCGTGGGAACCCAGCTGAATCCACTGAGGTCGATGAGGTCATCACGTCAGTCAAGAATAGGCAAGGTGCCGAGGGCACGCTCTCATTCCTGTGCAATGACGAAGGAATATATGGACTTGATAATGGGGTGGTCTAATCAGCAATGCCCACCCCAAGACTCTCAGACTGCTCAGTAATCTTCAGTCATCAGATTACCATCAAAAACCTTCCAGTAGCAACAAAGCACTATTTCATGAGAGCATTTGCAGCCAGTGGGTGGACCATTTGGACTAGGTAATTTATTTAGATGTCAGTGACTTTACAAAATAGGTTGATACATTGTACTAGGAATTTTGAGCTTGCGAAGTTGCAATATAAGCATGTAGTGGAAGATGCCCATACAGATGATAGGTATAGGTTCCGGCACCTCCTGGTCACTTGTAGAAAACCGAAAAGGGATGGCAGCACAAATTGAGCCAAGAAACTGACCTACATGGTCAGCCCTGAGACATCAGTGTTTCCTATGAAGGCCTGATCATTTTCAATAGGTCATAAATACAAAATACACCCACAACGCTAAATGCCATCTGTAGATATGGAGTTCCATTTCCGCGAGTGGCTTACCTTTCTTCGTGCTTTTGTATATTGTCGTGATCTCCAAGCCGATGACTTTATATTTCCATCAGTGAACCCTAAAGGCCTCATTCAACCCGGAACTCCAATATCATGACACAATCCAAAAATGGATCGACGAGTTTGTCATTGGGGCCGGTATTAATCTCTGGCTTGGTTGCCTCACAACTCACTGTTTTCGTCGTGGAGGTGCGCAATACTGATTCATGTACGCCCCGGTGGGAAAGTGTTGGAGCTTGGCCACTATTCGCTGGTGGGGTGGTTGGGCAGAAGGTGAACATGTATGTTGTCTTTTTTTGTGTCAAAGCACCACAAAGTTAAATTTTTCATAGCGGGACACCTTGATATGTTATCTATTGGATGAACTCTATTACTATGAAGAAGGGCATGGCGATGCCCTACGACCTATTCCCAAAGATGCCGATAAGTCATTCTTAGGCGAGCACACAGAGGTTTGACCAGCTACCAAACAAGAAATGCAAGCCATTTTTAGTGCGCAAATAGAAAACATCACAGCCAAACTTTTCGAATCATGCCGTTCAACCAACACAACCTGGTTTGGAATCACGAATAGTGCCAGTTTGCCATCCACACTGCGCCGATGCGAAGAGCACAGTGCCCTTCAAGTTGCGGAAGTACCATCTATAGCAACAGAGCTTTTGAGAACTACCTCTGAAAGTGGGATGCCCTGTGATCTGCGTATACCACCTTTGCCAAGGACTGGCTCCATGAATATGCGGTGGAAATGTGCTGTGCGAGACTGGCTTGAACCTGACCTTTCGCAAGGTCATAACGTTGCACTGAAAGACTGGAACGCAAGCTGGTATACGGGAGTTAACCGTGAATGGTTTGGTGTACAATATGGCAAGCGGAAACTCATCACATTCGAGTTTCTCCAAGTGTATGTATATTAAGCTCAGTTTATTATCTTAAAATGCAAACTAAACTTTACACCAGTTGCAATGGTGACGAAGCAGAATTTGTGTGTAAATGGCCAATGGCTGACACCGGCGGACCGAGTAAACTACTCAAGGCCATGCATACAGACCGTCTTGCCTCTGGGGCAGCCAAGCAACGTACAAGGAAATGTGACGATCTAGTATTTAAGAGCAGAAGCAGGAGAGTACGAAAATGACAAGTCTGAGAGGACAAGCTTTGACATTCGATATCATTTTATTTTAACAGTATTAACATACCTTTGCAGCATGCTTAATACGGCGTTAGCAGTTAGACTCACTCACAAAATCTGGCCCAACCAGACATTGTACGTCTAGCTAGCCTGCTGTATCCATATAACGAAAACAAGGTAAAATAGTGATCAGATTACTATGTAGTGCACGAAGCAAGTTAGTGGCAGACTCACGAATCACGAAATCACAACCTAGGCTATGCTCCTTCCAGCTGCTGGGACCGCGTTCTTTGGATGCAGCTAGCTGCATTTATTGAGCGAAGTGCATTCAAGAATAGGAGTAGAAGACAGTGCTTACATTACAATGTGCTTTTGAAGGTCGATTCGGGTCTGGATTACACGTTTCAAGACGGAGAGAAAATGAGAGCCACGGGTGGTACAGTACGTTGTTGCATCACGTGATGTTGCACCATTTGCTCGGGCACCCGGCCGTCTGGCCACAAGTATGCCCCCGTGCGTGCGGGGGCAAACCGGTGTAAATCCAGTGAAGTAAGTTTGTTTTTTCATCTTCAATCTTATGGAAACCTTCGCAGCCCAATCCCAAGTACATGGGTGCTCAGGGAGGCGACCCCTCAGTCGGCCTGCAAATCCTTGCTGACGACCTGCAACTCGGTCTTGCCATTGAAAAGGCAAAACTGAGTCCTGTTTTTGAAATCGCAGCAAAAAATAAGGGGGGCTTGGGATTCACTGGGGTGGACTCGGGAATAGGGGGGGGGGTTCGGTGATGATGCAGAGCTGGAGGAGGTTTAGTTGAGATTGAGATTGAGCTGACCTTTTTGTGCATGTATGGAGCTTTTTGTGCATGTAGGGAGCTTTTTGTGCATGTACTAGTCATTTTATGCTTGTACTGATCTTTTTTTGGATGGGGAGCAAAAAAAAAAAAAACCCCTACACCCAATTGCCCTGGCAAATGGAGTGGCACTGGATGGGATTGTGGTCACATCCCATTGAGACAGTCTGTGGGTCCTGCTGCAGAGATTAGTCCTGATTCTCACAAGGAGGAAAAGATTGCAAAATTACCACACC